GAGGAGGTTTATTAGGAGAAATACTTTCGCTCTTGGGGGGAGTGTTCAAAGGGGGCAGGACATCGCAAAGGTAAGGAGGATCATCACAGAGGTAAGGTATCTACTCATTTATTCTTGCTCATTAAATTAATGAATATTGTGGACACATTGGAAACCCTGAAGTATTAGAATGCTACAGTCATTAAAATCCTACTCGATGCCATACTTGCCATACATAAAAGCACTCCTTCCCCTTTCCCGTTTGCAGACATTGACGAGTGCCGATCAAGTCCAGATGTGTGTGGCGGACACCAATGCATCAACACCTACGGTGGCTATTACTGTTCTTGCAGCCCGGGATACGAGCTGGTCGGAAACCAGTGCCAAGGTGAGAGTCTTTGAAATATGGGACCTGTCCGGGAAAAAAGATAGTTACAACGTAATAGGGTAAGGCAGACACAAGTCACGAGAAAATCTGATCTTAAAACCAACTATTAACGACAACGAAGTGTACATTCATGGGTGAGACGCTGCGAGAAAACAGCCTCGAGCCTCCAAGTGCATGCTGTCCAAATGCTGAGAGCATGGCATCGGATAGAATACTAAAAGCATGCCAATAGAAATATTATTTCCATACTCAGCGCGGTACACTCTATCTGAAATCATACAGATTAAAATTCCTCATAGTTCACCTCGTTGCCTCCACTGATTCTTTTGCTGTCTTTGAGGGGAGGGGATAAGTAGGGAGCGTGATATAATCTTTAATCAAAAGTGATTATTTGCTTAACACGGCGATCAACAGGATTTTCTAACGCTTGCCTATTGTCCTCAAATATACGGAAGTATATTGAGCCATGTTTTTCCAATTTCCACCAACCTTAGACATAAACGAATGCAATGGAGGCGTCAAGCGCTGTCAGGAACACGAGCTCTGTGTGAATCTGCCTGGTTCCTTCCGGTGTCAACCCGTTTGTCCAAAGGGTTACAGGCTGGCCGGTGAATTGGCCGGCAGTGTACCCAACTGCGTAGACATTAACGAATGCCAAGTTCCTGAAGGCGCAAAAAGTGCCTGTCCGGAGGGAGCTACCTGCATCAATGTACCCGGCTCTTTCCGATGTCAATGTGCGGAGGGTCGTCCGCCAGTGGGTAACACCTGTCAAGGTAGGTTACTGCAAAAACATCATATTTTACTTTTAAGTTATGAATTAAAACAACAACTACTGACTGTAAAGACTGTCACGCGAAATTACTGGTATTTTGGCACTTTCTTCTGCTTTATAAGGTTGATTCAAATGTCTGTCTATTGTGTACATATACCTTGAAGCAAAAAATGTGCATTTAAATGCTACCGGAAGTAAGTTAAAACTAGAATATAATTAGTGAACCATCCGGAAATCACGTGAGCATATGTCTAAGTAAAACGTACATCAAAGGGGCTGACGCTAAATCCTTTTAGAGGCGAGCACAAAATTAGATGATCTAACAACAGGCTTGATTATTTTTAACTAGCCCGGAAAGGCCAGCTGTGCATTGCGGGTCCAAGGTTTGTGCGTTAACTGCATTATTCTTTTATGGCACTTTGAACTCTGACTGCTCTTTAATAGTATAGACACATCCTGCATTAAATTGCTGTAATAATACTAGCCTTACCCATTGCGACCAGGACATGCTTAGTAAAACTGATAGTTGAAGAAGTTCATTATTTGTAGTGATGAAGCCACCATGTTAACTAAGGATATAAGTTTTACTAGTACAAATATTATAAGTGGCAGTAAGAGGTACACCGGCTTAGAGATTGCAATAATATTAAAGGTCAACAAGGAGGTTTATTGAAGATCTGACCTGTCAAACCCATCTTTAAAGACTCGAAAGTTATGTATATTTCATCGTTAGTATTAAGGTCAGCACACAAGAATACATACCGCTCCTGGGATTGAGCTAAAGGTCATCTGTAGTAGGGTGTTTGCCTTACTTTTTTTATTCCAGGTGTTTTTTCTTTAAGTTTGGTTTTTTATTACGGATTTGCTGACATGCTGGCCATCAGATGTTATCAACGCTGTTCATAATTTTAGTTCAAGCACAACAAGCGTGTCCAACTGGTTTCCGCTGGAGCGTTCAGGCAGGTCGATGCGTAGGTAAGTCAACATATGGATTAAAAAATTATGAGAACAAGGTGGGCATTTTTGAGAATAAATATTGCATCAGACAAACGTTTGACTGAAAAAGAGATTACCTCTTTCCTTTCGAAAAGTTTATACCTGCGCACGACCAATGGTTCTCAGAGGTTCTGTTAAAATGTTTTTTGCTATACTATAAGATGGAAAGAGTGCACTTTTCTAAACCTCCGGATCGCAACTTCAGGTACAAATATAACTTTCCATTCGCCCTTCAGGAAACCGCATAGCTCCCAATTTTTCTCACACAGAACCCCCAATCAGATGCATATTTCGATCCGGGTGTGAACCCCGTGGTCGAACATCGAGCCGTAAGGCCGTGATATAGCGAATATGACTTTATATTTCAAGAGAACATATACGAACAAGGATACCCGTATGATATGCTAGTTTTGGGGTTTACCGATCTGGTAACGAAACGTGTAAATTCCATTGTGCCCCGCAGCTCGCTCTAGAGCCCTCGCACACATTCGCACAGAGATTTGTGGCATAGAATGGTACGGTGGAACCGACGAAGACATAGTGTACCACAATTCGCTATGCAACCACCTGCGAGGGCTCTTAATTGAGCTCCAAGGCCAAATGGAACTTATGTGTTCCGTAAGCAAATCGGTTGGCCCCACACTGTCATCATATTCCAGTTCGTAACCGCCAAAACAACGGGTCCACAGCTAAATGTTAGAGAGTAACGCTCAAAAACTACAAGGTCCCAGGTGTAAAACTCGGGTAGTCTGTATACAGGATTGGGTAGGACAGGCTGATGACGGCTAAAGGGCCAGAAATGGCCATTCCGGCCCTCTGTATCTTTGTTGCTTTAACCGTATCCCATATACATACCCTTTAGTAGTAGCTGGAGGGATTTGCGAGGTTGGCACCGCGAAACCAGATAGCAAACCAAGTAGTCTATGTAGGATACTGATAGAATGCAAACGGGGTTCTCGATTTTTATGACAATCATTTAAATAATTTTGCACATAACCCAGAGATGAGCATTCTTGGGTACCTGCTTTTTTCTGTAAAATCCTACGCATTACGGATTGTTATTCACCGTAAGATGGCCTGCGCGGTTTTTAAAACCTCAGATTCAAGGTAGAAGTGGAATGCGGATTCCTGTCATGCTATCAAGCGTGATTTGCGCGCAAGTCATTCTCACGTAAACTTTGAAGCCTGAAAAATCCACTGACTGCACGCCACTGTGACCCTGAGGAGTTTTTTCTTGTGCGTCAAGCTTACATACCAACTGAAAAGTGCCCGGACCTTTTTCCGTGTTATCTCGCACAGCTGACTCAAAAGAGTAATTTTATTTTGCGGATTTCCAGTCCTAGCGTGCTTTTATTCGGCACTGTCCAAGTCAGCGGTTGTTATCGGATAAAAGTTATTGTGCATGAGCACTACTGTCTCAGCACTTTTTCTGCTGCTCTGAGTAAAAAGCGGAATCACTGCCTTGCAGATATCGACGAGTGTAATCAACCGAATGAGCGCAGTCCCTGCCAGTACCAGTGTCACAACACCGTTGGCGGCTACCGCTGCTCCTGTCCACCCGGATACGAGCTGAACCCTTTAAGCAATCTGTGCGCAGGTAAGCTTTTTCTCTTCATTCATATGCAGCGATTTGTCTGTGGAAAAAACTGCTACCCGTTGTTGTGAGCATCCAAATTAAATTCTACTGGAAAGTTGGACAATAATATGCCTAAGATCAATTAAAACATGCATTTACTAAGTTACCTCTCATAAAAGCACTTTCATATTTGCGTAAGGTACCTGTTTCAAAATGGAGAACTGTAAACGGATTTTTAATTTTCTTGAAAATAAGTATGAACACGCCTGCTTTAAATGAAAGAATTCACTGGTTGCTTTATATGAGAAGTTTTCACTATATTTGTTTGCATTTATGGCCTGTTTGAAGATTGCAACTGCAGTAAAACTAACCTGATGGACGGGTTACATTTTGTGAAAACTGTTCAGCCTCTGTCCTTTCCGTTTCTAAATTACAAATTAGCTCATTATACAGAAAATATCTTGTCAAATGCTTCAAGTGTATCTTAGCTTGTTTTCGGTGTCCCTAACCACGGTAAAGTATACGTTTCTTGTTTATATTTCGAAGTCTCGGTGTTGTTAAAAACATGCGGTCCAATAAGTTTATTATTACGTTGTATGTCAAAAGCCTTCAAACATTGGCAGAAATTAATTCCTTCCTTACTTCCCACACAATTGGTTTCGCCTGAGTATACTTGAATTAAGATCAGAGTTTCGGCTTCCAGTATGACTTTTTTTTAAACCAAGTCCTGTATATTAATGATCTGTTGTAATACAACGCGAAAATACGCGATTTTGTGTTATATTAGATAGCATAGGAAATTTGTTGAATATTCCGCAAACCCAGTTTTCCTTCAAGTCCTGCTCGCTTTCCTTTTATATACCAGACCAAACTTGCCGTTTTCTTTATCAAAAGGCGTTCTGAGCCTGAAACCCAGCCACCAAATCAGCATAACAGGACCAAAAGTACAAATAATATTGCAGGTGTTAGGCCACTTCTTGGATCTTTCGAGGCTTACTGATTCCTGCTTATAGCTGATAACATTAATATGGATATAGGTCCTGGGACTTCACGTAAGGTGTATCGGGTGGTTTCCAGCTATAGGAGAACTCTCATTTGCGTATCGTTACAGTCACACAGCAGGTTGTTCATCGCAGCCACTGCGAATATTTTTGGCACAGCTGTGAAGAAACGGGGGAAGAGGAAAAAGTAGAAGAACCAGGAGAAGGGGATGATGGTGATTATGATGAACAAGGAAAGGAGCAGCGGCATTTTCTCCGCCTTTCAGTCGTTACACAACTGGCAGAACAGCGATCCCATGGGCTCATTTTGCGTATTGGACTCAACAACGTCCAATGGCTAAATAGTGCGTTTTCTGGTCGCTTGCGCGACAAACCTGGGCCCGCTGGCTAATGATGAATGTAAACCAGAAGTAGTCATTCCAGTATCCATTATATACGTGCAATAGGTTACTGTTTAGAGATCGTATATATCCTGCCTTTCCCTACATGTATTGATTTTCGTTTTGCTTTATATGCCCCTTCTTTCAATGTTATTTTCCGAACAGATATTAATGAATGCAAAACATCCGCACACAACTGTTCCCGGGGACAACTCTGTGTCAACACGCCAGGAAGTCATGTATGCCTTGAACCATCCTGTCCAAAGAACTACCAGTTTGACGCCGAATCAAAGTAGGTGTTTAAAACACTTTAGCAGTTTTGTGTCTCTGTAAGGCGCTTTAACAAACTGTGCTTAGTAGAGTTGCGTCCTAGTTGACCTAATTTATGCACAATAGGAAGCTTGGGTCAGTGGTAGTTAAAGTGGGGGTAAATTTTTAATTTCAAGAAGTTATTAACAGAGGATATGAGCTCAGTATGATGGAATCGGGAGACAATGAGTCATAGTATTGGGGTTTGAGATGCCCGCTCAGTCTGCATTTTACTTATCGCACGTTGAACGATTAAGAAAGACGAAATTGCGTTAATGGGAGCTCACATTTTAGCGTTAGTACGCGATGGGTCTTAGGGCTCATTACGAAAGTATATTGAGGCAGGGAAAATTTTCATTAGAGTCGGTAGAAACTCGAGAGCGGAAGTCTGCTTTAAGTTCACGAATGAATGAAAACGTTCGCATTCCATGTATTTGCATGGATAATGAAGAAGTTCAGAAATAAGAAGCAACAATAAGCGAATTGATCCAGTTCTCGACAAGTCTTCTTCCTTATCTGCTTGAAGTATACACCGCAATCTGCTCTCATAGCTAAACTTCTTCGGAGTACAGGTCATGGCAGTTTCACCGTCTGCATATCCTTCTTTTTTGCAGGTCCTGTCGAATCACCTGTGCGGAGAGTAATCTGCCCTGCCCCCAGGGTGCTCGATTTGCCGACTCCGTACAGTATCTCTCCGTCAGCATCCCCCCACCGTCCAGCGCCACCGGCCGGAATATCATACTGCGTGTAGTGGACTGGCAACAGGCAAGTCCTTAATGTTGTAACTTACCATACTAACAGCCCAGGTACTAATTAAAAGGCTCAGAAACGCGTTTCGCCGGTATTCTGTCGCTGCTTGATACAGCTGCGAGGGGTCCGACTCATCAGTGGGTCCACCAGCTTCCCATGTTTCCTTTCTGGTCGATATACCGGTTTTGAAAGTTCAGCTTTTTAATTTCATTAGAAATTCATTTCTGTTTACGGTACGCATCAGTATTCTGAAGGTCTACAGGCGCAGACCGAAAATTTAAGTGTATACTTGTGTTGAAACCCGTCGACCACTGCGTAATATACACCAGCTGCCAACGGACATACTGTTGTAGTATATTTTGATGTTGTAACTTAGCATGTCCTTAGAGATACCCTGTACACTTTATAACCCCGGGTGATTTAGGCAGTTCCATGTTCTGCAGCGTTACTAAATCGGTCATTGTGCTATGAGGCAGGCAGT